CTTCGCTGCTCGCGCCTGCGCCTGTGTCTGTTGCTGCTGTTGCTGCTGCTGCTGTTGCTGCTGCTGCTGCTGCTGCTGTTGCTGTTGCTGCTGCCGCACAGCCGCTTCTTGATGTTGTTTCATTCTCTCGAGGGCAGCATGTTGTTGTTCAAAGTAAAGTTTATGCCCCATGTGATACATAGCAGCAGCTGCTGCGTGGGGGTGATCGGGTGGGAGGGTCGGGAGGCCGTTGGTGTACGGCGGTGGATGAGGTCGTGGCGGTCTTGGTGGTGGTTGTGGTTGAGGTTGAGGACTGGGTGGCGCGTCACCGCTCTCACTTGTATCTGGTTCCATTCTACTGGAGAGTTCCATATATTTTTGTTGCATTTCCGCCAATTGCTCGTGCAACATTTTTAATTGTATCTTCAAATTATCTTTCTCCTCCCGTTTCTGTCTGATCGTCGCCGGATCTTCCTCCTCTTCGCTCTCGTCTTCGTCGTCCATCATGGTATCATTGACACTATGCTGAAGAACGTGATGCACCGTCTGTTGTTGAGGTTGATAGAGCTTGCGCTTCTTGCAACCGTTTACCGTTGCCGGCTGAAGCGCTGGACTACTGCGCATCGTGCTGACGATGTTCTCCACACGAGCGCGTTTAATCTCTGTCGTTGGAGAGTTCGTTTCGGTTTTTGGCACGATCGGACAAGGAGAGTGACTGGGACTACGTTTGATATTCATCGACTCTTGTATCTCTTCTTTAACGGATACCGAGCCCGATCTTGGTGCCGTTGGGCTAGGAGGTAGGCTCTGCTCGCAATCCGATCCATCCAAGTTCGCCCCTGGTTCCATACCGGCTTCGGCAAAGGCCTCCTCCATCGCGCGTGCCGCGGAAGCAGCATCCTCAGCGCTGTCCTCAGCATCGCCCGGCATCACGGTATCACGATCACTGTGATTCGCGCTATTCACGACGTTATTACCATCACCACTCTCCTCCCCGCCACTCTGCACTGTTCCACTGCGCGCACTATCACTATTTTGTTGTTGATGCTGTTGGGGACTCTGCTGATGCTGTGATTTAAGTAATTCCGCGGTAGTATTATTATTGTTGTTATTATGTATACTGTTGTTATTGTTCGGCTGCTCCTGCACGCCGAGAGCGGAGAGTTTGCGGCCCTGCAGAAGCATGTCGCGTAACATGTGCTGCGTGAGGTCGGCCGTAGCAGGATCATCGCAATTAACCACGGCGCCCGGTTGCAAATTCGAGGCGGAATCCATGCCGGCACCGGTCATCCCGTGACCGCCCTCTGGCGGTGATCCGCCAGCGTCACTGGCTTGTTTGACCTGCCTTCCTAATAACTCGTTCAGCATCTTGGCGGGGCCGAAGCCCGGAGCCCCGAAGAAGCCGAAGGCCGCGTGGGCGGAATGCTGCTGGGTTGTAGGACCCGTCGTAGCTGTACCTAAATGACTTTGGCTGCCAGCCGCTCCAGCCTGTTGCTGGAGCTGTTGTTGTTGTTGTTGCGATTGTGACTGGTGGTGTTGCTGCGGCTGTTGCTGCTGTTGCGGCGATTGTTGATGCGACGGTGGTCCACTACCACTGAAGATCGAGCCGTATAGACCACCACCGAGGAAGGATGGCCGGGAGCTAAAGTTCGGTATACTCGAGTAGCTGTTGCGCGGCTCGCCGGCGTCCACGCGCTGTCTGGTGCGCTTCTGCTTCTTCAGGAGTTGCTGTTGCTTGCTTTCCGTGGTTGCTCCGTAGAGGGCGAAACACTCGGTCTCCTCCTCCGATGACATCATCGGCCGTCTGGTTGGTCGGCCCCCCGAAGGCCTCCGCGTCCCCTCCCCGCCAGGGCTTCTTGTCACCCTCCCCTTCTCGCTCGAATAGCCCCTCGTGGCTCAGTGCGCTGCCTCGGCTTCTGCACACTGTGTAGTCTCTCCGGTACCCCTACTACAGCTGCCTTTTCTCTATGTGTTCCTTCTTCTAATGCTCCCCACCTTCTCCGCCACCGACCACCACCGCCTCTCCACTTCCTTTGCCTTTGCCGTCTCCTTCTCGGTCTTCTTCTCCTCCTCTTTCTTTTCCCTCGTCTTCGCCGCCACCGCCTCCTCCTCCTCCTCTTCCGCCGCCTCCTCTGCTTTTTCCGCCGCCGCCGCCAACGACGACGACGCCGGCACCCTTCTCTTTCCCGGCGAACTCCTGCTTCCTCCTCTCCTTCTTCTCCTTCTCTCGCGCTTCCTCTTCTTCTTCTTCCGTCGTTCCTCGCTTTTTCTGTGCTTTCTTTTCACTATTCCTCGCCCCGCACCTTCCGCCGTAGAGCTGACGCCAACGGCTGAGGCTGCTGCTCGGTGACTTGATGTCGGCCGTTCGCCCTCGTCTCGAGATGGCGGGTTTTCTTCGGAAGATTCGATTCGTTATCGGGTCTGTATCCGCTGCTGTCGTGCTTCTTACTACTTCTGCTACGGTTATTGTTGCAACCGGGACCGCCGCTGTTGCTACCGATGCGTTTATTCCCGGTGATTGTTGCGATGTTGTTCCCGTTGATGATAACCAGAAGGAAAGTCGGTATTCTCGCGGGCGGAATTCTCGTGCTCCCGCCTGGGAGCTGCATCCTTCGAGCTCGCCAAAGGGCTAAGTGCCCCTCGCTCCCTCGTCTCGATTTTCGTGGCCTCAATTCTCCGATACACCGTCTGTAATAAAAAACACAACAATTCATCTTAGCGATCTGTGCCGTCTAAACGAATATCGCTCGTCTATATATGTATATAATAAGAGAATCGATTCAGAGGTACTATAATAGCACACGGTAGAGTATTTTAAGCTCTGTATATAGACTGTTGCATTGAAAGAAACGTCGTTTCCGTAGATAGGAAGTACTCGACGGTGTGTACACTTGTCATTTCCTCTTATTATTAGCTTATCTTATTTTAACCGCAAATCGAATGGTATAGTAAGAATGTTGAAAGAGAATCTGTTACAGATGCATTATTAATCTTTGTAATTATAATATGTTCTTTATATAATATTTGCAAATATTTTTTTTATTGAAAATAAAAACATACATCTAATAAAAAACGCATTACGCTCTCTTTTTGCAAATATTATATTTTAGTATTTTATTGTATTATCCTATATTTACCCCAATTATATATTTCACGATAGATTCTTAAAAGTTGAATTTGTAGAAAACATTTCTTATTTTCCAAGATATAGACATTGGAAAAAAAAATACATTAATTCTATGCAAGATGACGTCACAGTACGATAGAACATGAGAAAGGAGTGCGAAGTGTTATCGGTTAAAAATACAGTGATCGACCACATCGAGGGCGACGACGACGGCGACGAAGAAGAAGAGCAGGCCTCGAGTGACAGTTGCAAGCAATATGTTTCACCCTCGTCCGAACACCCTGCGACCGATAGAGGTAAAAACTCAAAGTATAGTGAGTTAGCGAGGGGGTTAGCGAAGAAGGGGGTGGTTCGCCTGAGAAGCGACCATAAGAAAATTACTTGCGTTGAATATCTTATTCGATACATAAGCAGTTCCGCCTAGAATGGTCTTCGCGGGGGACACATACTATCGTCGGTCGATACCCGGTGAAAGAAAGGGGGGCACAAAAAGTAATTGATAGTCCACTCATTGTTCGCTCGATCATAGACCAGGCCCATCTTGCTTGCTTCGATGAGAAAAATAGAATTCTTCTATTTTTGCGCCTTTATATCCATATACACACAATATATATGTATATCTATATATATATATATATGTGTGTGTGTGTGTGTGTGTGTGTGTTTTTGTGTATATATATATATATATATATATATATATAGAGAGAGAGAGAGAGAGAGAGAGAGAGAGAGAGAGAGAGAGAGAGAGAGAGAGCCGACCTTTACGTTTTCATTTTATTTTCATACAATTACAGCTCGCTAATACCGACTTTATTACACAGTCATAATGAGGCGACAATATTTCGTTATTGTCGTTACAATTATTTACTCGGCACGAAATATTTTAATGGAATCCTTTTTTGTTATAATCTCCACGCGCGCAAATAATCGCTCTTCATTCGTCAATGGTACGGTCTGTTAGAAGCTTCGATCGTCATGCAGTTCAATTGACGCTGCGTATAAGTGCGTAAGTGAGACGTTTGTGTAGTAGCACGTATGCGTTATGGTATAGAGCTTGAATACGTACTAATACAGTGCACGGACACACACGTTTGTGTACATGTACGCGAGATTCGAAGCAACAGCTGAGCAGTTTAAAGCACCTGCGCTCAATAAGCCGACAATATTCCATAGTTCGTCTACGCATAAACCCCCTGCGTACGAGGATATCTCGATATTCGTTCCAATACGTATCAAGAAGTCAAAAGAGCTTGTAGAGACAATGCGTGAGGTGTCACAAAGTAAAGAAAGTTTAATGAAAATTGTATTCTACAAATAAAAATAAAATTTTTCTCTGTTTATTTTCATTTATCGAGATCAAGCCTTTATGAAAATTAATATTGTATTATTTATGTATACAAATATATATATATGTATATACAAAACATATATATATATATATAAAATACAATATTTATATAGTATAATATATGACATTAGAAATAAAGCATATTGAACAAAGTTACAGTACTCATTACAAACATAACACATTTTTCTTTCTTGAAGGCCGAAGAACTGTAAATTGCGTAACAGGAAGACAGATTATTGAAATACGAGCAAATACGCGCGCGTATTTGAAGTATCATCGACGTCCTCATTGCGCACTTGAATCACTATTACGTAAACGTTCAATTACGCCAAGTTAGCGCGTTCTCGGCCGCTTCCTCGAAGAGGAGCGATTCGTTCCGAGAAATTACTAGGCAGTTCCGTTGGCAATTACTTTAGAGGGGTGCAGCGCTTGCTACTCGTTACTCCAGAAGTGACATATGGTGTCGACCTCGATAAGGTCTACGGGACGACGATTGTACCTGGATAGGAAGGGACGCTTCGAGGGGGGTCAGCCGAACTTCTGTCTTTCCCGTTTTTGATCGGTACTTCCCCGTGTGCCGTCATGCGTGGGACGAGAAGGGGAAAACAAAAAGGTGCCGGTGCCCTGCCGGAAATGGCTTCAGGAACTCTCCCACTGTTGCGTCGATTCGGAAGTAGACGCGACGAACTAATTACACGCGAGGAGTGTACTTTCACCAAGGTAAGCGCAGGGGTAACGCACATGGTCTTACTACTATTAGTATCTGATGACCGATTTTTTTTGGCAGAGATACAAATTTAAATTTACAAAATGCGTAATAATATTTGTCTTTATTCATCTCATTTTTAAATGTTAATTGTTTTCTCACAATAAGAGAATGATGTTACAAAAAATTTTCCACCGTCAAAGAATCAATTCATAAATAAATTACGGAAGTTAATTGCATATATTAAGCATATATAAAGTCATCTTCAAGTCCAATATGTCATAGAGAATCAGCGACTATTAAAGTACAAGAAAAACACACATCGGTAAGTCACCAATGACCATTTCCTGCACGTCATACGATATTTACCATTTAAGCAGGTAGGTAGATTTCAAAGCGTGATTATAGTGCATATAGTGATAGGGTCCGCAAGTAATACATAGGATAGTTAACGCATGGGGAACCCTCGATGAAACTTCAAGGTAATATTACAACAAGTAATCGTTTTTTTAAGTAGATGACGACGTATGAAAAATCGCAAGTCGAATATCAATTCAAGAACGAATTCGCAACTTCTGCGAGCAAATTTTATGAACGTTTGAGCTTATATTCCGCTATATTCTCGTGTATCCCACAATTTTTAGTTTCCCCTTGTGAAACAGCCGAAGAAACGAAGGAAGATAGTTCCTACGTGAGCATCACATGGTGTACGTACCCCACATGGCGTTATTGAGGTAACACAGCAGTGGCATGTGCATCGGAATTCCACCCCCTGTAGGTGTCATGTGGTGAGAATATTCGCAGGGGGTTGCATGGGAACTCGACTGTGGTCATCAGTCCATGTCCATCGTGTATATAGGCACGCACGACGTTTAGGCACGTACCGACTTCACCCTCCCGATATATAAAATTATTGTAACATTCGTTTCGTCATTACGTCTACGACGATATATAGTATAAGGGGGATAGACATACTTCGTAGCCGTAACACGCATCCGCAACCGCACAAACACGACCACGTCCGTGGTCTTGCCTAAGCGCAAACGTGTAGACACGCGCACACGCGCGCAAGCAAAACGTACGTCGGGGTACTCACACGCGTCGGCGGCGCATACCGCACACGGCGGCCCATCGTGTATGTACACACACGGTTCACACGCGTTCAGCATATTATCGGCCTGCTCTGATGCAACAAGTTGACCGGGTGTCAATTGATGTGTTATTAATTGGAGGTTAATTGCGTTAATGCGCTGCCGACTCCGCCTCTCTGTCGTCTACCCACTCTCCCACCCCCGACGCCCACCGCACCCACCTTCAACGAGCCCCACTGTTTTATTATTATTTTGCATTCGAATCGTTTCGATTCAACACACACTGGCACGCGCCCAAACCAAACTGGTGAGAGGAAGAGAGAGAGAGAGAGAGAGAGAGAGAGAGAGAGAGAGAAAAAGAGAGAAAGAGTGAGAAGTGCTACCCGGCAGGGCGCGAGCCGGAGAGAGCGCGAGAGAGCATTTAAAAGCGGCGGCCTGTCACCGATTTTCATAATTCACAGCTCGTTAAATTTGTTTCGCTTTTTGCCCCGCTTTTCGCGGTTACGCGCCCCGACGCCATTAATCTACCTTCGGTCGTTTTCAATGAGTTTAATCGCGTTTCAAAAACAATGTGGGTCAACGCCACGCTTGTGTTATTCCTGACACGTGAGCATGACCTTCTCGCCATTTTCATTTCGATTTCGGTTCCCATTCATGCCGTTGCAGATAACACGCGATAATGAGCGCCGGTGTTTTTCGAAAGTTTGACGTTGCGGCATTCCGAGTCGCGTTTTGTATTGTATTTGTAGCGAGGCAAGGAACGAAATTCTATAAGGGTACGATTTAAGGTGAAATTTAAGTTACGTCTTTTCAAAATGTCTGTATTTACGATTATTCGTTTTACTATAACGGTAGAAAAGCAGTCGTATTATGCATGTTTATATAGCCAAGTTGTATACACATCTATAGAGATTTATAGTCTAGCGAAATGGAGGAAGGTGAACACAATTCAGTGGTGTTTCCTTCGTACGAGATCAATGATCATCAGGAAATTTCCCAAGATACGATCACAAATCTCCGAGACTTTTCACGAGATGTCTGCACGACCTTTCTTCAATATGTTCCCATGACTTCTCGCGGTGGGAAACGCTAACGTCTGATATTAAAGGCTACAAAAACTTCTGCGACGCCCTTCGTCCTCCCTCGGGGAAGGAAATAGGAACAACGGTCTTTGCCCTCAATGGCGTGGACGCAAAGTTGCGGCATCAAACTCGGAAACTGAAAATTTATGCAGTGAAAACGGTCGCACTTTTGTTTAATGATTTATTATATTAATTTAACGGTTTATAGAATTAATTACGCTGGTCAATTTGATCTCTGTATTTATATTTATCTACGAGTATCGTATAAAAGTAAAATCAATGAAGCTTGTTAAAGCTTATCAGTTGTATTTCATTAATACAGACATCGTTAAAA